CCTCGTGGTTCACTTCTTGAATGGCTGCAAGGGCCAGCGCTGTGGCAGGCTGAAGCCAGGAGGCAGGCGCTCCCTGCAGTCTCTCGCTGGCCCCTGTGACATGGAAAGCAGCAGATACATGTGCCCTTCGGAGCGCCTGCCCCCCATGCTGGCTCCTCTCCTCCAGGTGCTGCTCAAATGCCACCACCACAGGTGGTCTTCTGTCACTCACCCCGGAAACGGGCACCAGTCCCTTCTCTGTCCCCTGCACCTGCTGCTGCCCCGGCTCAGGCCCTGACTGCAGTCCATCCTTAACCAGAATGCGGGCCCCAGCCAAGGAGGCGCTCTGCCCAGGCAGCTCACGGCCCGACGGGAAGAACTACTCTTGACCAAATGAAGGAAACACAGGGAAAGGGTGGGTGTGGGGGCGGAAAGGAGGCATTGGGTGTGTCTTTCTTGCATGAATGCAAGGTTGCGTACTTGGTTGACATTGAAAATCGCTGACTCCTAACACTCACTTTGTCATTTTTTTCCTTTAAAATAAATAAATAAATATGCTCATATGCTCCAGGGCCTAGCGTGGTGGCCTAGTGGATAAAGTCCTCGCCTTTAATGCGCCAGGGTCCCATATGGGTACCAGTTCTAATCCCAGCAGCCCTGCTTCCCATTCAGCTCCCTGCCTGTGGCCTGGGAAAGCAGCCGAGGACGGCCCAAAGCTTTGGGACCCCACACCCGTGTGGGAGACCCAGAAGAAGCTCCTGGCTTCAGATTGGCTCAGGTCTGGCCACTGCAGCCACTTGGGGAGTGAATCAGAGGACAGAAGATCTTCCTCTGTCTCCCCTTCTCTCTGTAAGTCTGATTTTCCAATAAAAATAGATTTTTTTCTCTTTCTCAGTGTCTGACCACAAAGCCTTTGAGGGAGGGAGGTGATGGGAGCGTGGGTCCAGCCTACACATCTCAGACTGTCCACCCGGGCCAGTGGGGCAAGTGTGTCCCCCACATTATGGAGCATGGGCCAGGGCTGTCACCTGTGGCGGAGATGAACTTGTTGTAGTTTTCGTAGACCAGGGTCTGCATGTCGCTGTCCAGAGCCCGGATCTGCCGCACCATGTCCTTCTCACTGTCCATCAGCTGGGTCAGGGGGCACTCTCTCCGCAGCTGCAGGAGTCGGGTGGTCAGCGTCTGGCCCTCACCCCGCCCACCCCATCTGGGAGTTTGTCCGCCTGGCCAAGCTCAGGCTCCGTCCATTCCCTGGACCACGCCCCCTCCCTCCATGTCAGCCCAGACCTAGGACCCCACAGCAGCACCTCCGGCTGGTCCTCCTCCCTTTGGGGGGGCTCTGCGCCCGTCCCCACCCGACCCCCCTGAGCAGAAGACATGCTGGGTGGGGCTGGGGTCCGTTCCCAGGACACCCCCTCCCCCCATAACACACACCTTGTCCAGATAGACTTCCGGATCGAAGTGCGCCCCGTTGAGGTCCGTGGGGTCCAGGGGGTCCGGTCCCGCGGGGCGCCCGGCGCCCTCGCCCTCCGACAGGCCGTAGTAAAGCTTCAGCATCCCGTGCGTCTTCCGCCGGCGCTCCGGCGCCTCGGCCTCGGACCCCTCGGGGGAGTCCCCCGGACCAGGCCCGGCGGCCGCCGCCGCCGCCATCGCCCCCACTGCAGTCCACGGATCGGAGGCCGGGAAGGAGTCCGGGAGAAGCAACCACTTCCGGCAGCCATAAAGTTCTGGCTGAATCGAGGCAGTGCTTCAACGGAAACCTTCCCCCTCGGCAACCCTGTGGGATTGGCGACTAGAGTTCCTCGCGGCACCTGTTGGGTTCCGCTCCCTCCCTTTGCAGACTGGTGCCCAGATGTGGAGGACAGCTGGGGTGTGCTGAGGGCGGAAAATGCAGGACTGCACTCCTGTGGGATGCTGGCCTGTGCCACGAGTGTCCGCTTAGAATTTGCTGCACCACAATCTCCAACCTGCTGTTTTTTTCCATTGGTATTTATTTATTTAAATATGTATTTGTTTGTTCATTTATTTATTTATTTGAAAGCGTTATATAGAGAAAGAGAAGGATTTTGCATCGCCTGGCTACTCTCCAGATAGATGGGTATCATGGCCAGGCCAAAGCCAGGAACATAATCCCAGTATCCCAACTGAGCCATTTTCCGCTGCTTTTCCCAGTCCATGAGCAGAGAATCTGAGCAGAGAATTCAACTGGACCGAGCTGAAGTCAGGAGGCAGGAACTCCAGCCAGGTCATCCATGCAAGTGGCAGAGGCTGCCATTTTATGCTGCCCGCCCAGATATGTGAGCAGGTAGTCAGAGCAGCCAGAACCCAAACCAGCTCTCCTATGGCATGCCAATGTGGCAAGCTGTTGGTGTAACCTGATGTTGCAATGCCAACCCAGTGATATATTCTAAGATTCCTCTGTAAGTGACTGTGAGGGTGAGCACTTAGCCTAGCCGTTAGGACACTGCTGAGCAGCCAAGGATGGCTCAAACAGCGGAGCCCTGACACCCACGTGGGCAGCCTAGACCAAGTTCCTGGCTCCCAACTTCTGCCTAGCTCAGTCCTGACTGCTGTGGGAAACTTGGGGAATGAGACAGCAGACAGAAGATCTCTGTTTTTCAAATAAACAAAAAATACAGAAATTGTTCTAAACTCACTTATTTCAAAAATCAGTAAATGGAGATGAGCACCATAGCACAGTAGGCTAATCTTACTGTGGCACCAGCATTCCATATGGGCAAAGATTTGTATCCTGGCTGCTCCACTTCCCATCCAGCTCCCTGCCTGTGGCCTGGGAAAGCAGTAGAGGACGGCCCAAAGCCTTGGGACCCTGCACCCACGTGGGAGACCCGGAAGAAGCTCCTGGCTCCCAGATTTGGACCAGCCCAACTCCGGCACTGCCATCTTGGAACTTCACAAGCAGATGGGATTTCCTTCTTTATCACTCTGCTTTTCCAACAGAAACAAATCTTACTGAGGGTCCTCCTGTTAGTGACCAGTTAATAAACCTTCATTTACCTTCAGCCTTCCTGACATGTCATGTTCCTAACATTTTGAAAATCAAGTGTATATGTTTTAAGTCTTACATTATGGGCTGAGGGCCTGGCACAGTAGCCCAGCAGCTGAAGTCCTCGTCTTGAATGTGCCAGGATCCCATATGGGCACCAGTTCTAATCCTGGTGGCCCTGCTTCCCATTCAGCTCCCGGCCTGTGCCTAGGAAAGCAGTAGAGGACGGCCCAAAGCCTTGGGACCCTGTACTGACGTGGGAGACTCAGAAGAAGCCCGTGGCTTTGGAGAAATTCAGCTCCGACCGTTGTGGACACTTGGGGAGTGACCCAGTAGATGCGAGATCTTTTCTTTCTCCCCTTCTCTCTGTAAATCTGACTTTCCAATAAAAATAAATCTTTTTTTTTTTAAGAGAGTGTTAAAATTATAGGTGCATCTGTACACTGAGCTGTATGAAGTTGCATAAGACTCAGAGATGCTGGCTCAGCAAACAGGTGAAGGGATTAGGTCTTTTAGAAGGGTGCTTTGCACTGGGCAAATTACCTCAGAGAACATATCCATGAATTCCTTAAGATTTTACTTGAACAACACGTCATTACCTTTTTCTTTTATTTGGACGTCAGAGACAGGGAGCAGTGATCTCCCTTCCACTGACTTTCTCTCCAAATGCAGCCAGGCTGGAGACAGGAGCTTGGAACCGAATCTGGGCTCACGCACAGGCGTGTCAGAGACCCCTGTGCTGCCCCCGTGGGCGCGCACCTGGAGTATTCTGGGAGCAGAACCCAGGTTGGAACTCAGGCCCCACACACAGGCTGTAGGCATGCAGAGGGCATTTCAATCACCATGGCGATTGCTCGCTCCAGGATTCCTTCTGAAATGGCATTCATCTAGGCACATTCATGTACAGTGCTTCCCCGGTAGCCACGTGACAGCTCGGGTGCCAATCATTGCTGGATCACACGTGGCCGGAGCTAGCCCTGGGACATCATTCCTTCCTTGTGGCTTGGCCAGGGATTTGAGGGATGTGTGTGTGACCACACTGGGCAGCAAGCAGAGTGAAGGGTGCTTCCTAATGCGCTGCCTGCCTGGTCTTAGCCAACGGTGTAGCTGAGTTTAACTTCACATTTTGCCTCTTTTCTCCTCTCCAATCTGAAGGCACCAGGGCCCTCCGTGTCACTCCTGGCTGTTTTTTCCTAGCTTTTTGCTGTCAAGTCCTGTGGTTCTCATCTTGCTCATGTGTGTAGTTAACATGTTTTTATGCTGGCACATCTCTGTCCCTGATGCTCCAACATAGCTTCCAGAGCTTCAGGAAGCTGACTCCCAACTCATGGCCTGGGAAGGCTCCAGCCACTCCTCTCCTCAGACTACAGAGCGGAGGTTACATCACCAGTCCGTGTTCTCATGGGACTCTTGGAAACACTGGAGGAGGGGAGGGGCATGGAAGCACTGTGTGCACTGGCAGGTGGAAGAGCTGTTGGGGAGGGGAGGCAGTCCTGGGGGGACATCCGAGACCTGGTGGATGGGGGACAGAGGGAAGACCAGCTGTTCTCGTGACCACAGCAAGGGTGAGCAGAGAGGGGACTAGGACAGCAAAGGAGGACATGCTGGCCCTTAGTCGTGCCTTCCCACTAGCCCCTGGGGGCCAACCTCACATCTGCCAAAGATGTGCCCTGGGCCTGGCGCCCAGCCCTCAGCTCTCTCCTAAGCCACTGTCACCCATGTGTCAAAGGAACCTGCCCTCTGCCTTTGCAGGGACTGTGGCATTATCAAGCATGAGGGCCGCGGGGGCATAATGGTGGCACTGTCCCCCCTCCCCACAGGCCAACCACCCATGGAAGTCTCGTGTTTCTTGGAATTGGCTGGGGTTCTATAATCTGGGCCTCACCAGTGTCCTCCTGGTTCTAGAATCCCAGTGCTGTTCCTGCACATCCAGAAGCAGACAGCTCTGCCGCTGTGGCCGCTGGCTTCCGTCCTCTGGGGGATCCGTGCATGTACAGGTGCAGGTGCAGCCAGGATGCGCTGGCGTGACCGCCTGGCTGTGCTTTTCTTTCCGCCAGGCATGACACTGACAGTGGCAGCGCTTCTGCTCTTCCTCATCCACCTCGCCGTCTTCATCAGTGACGTCCACAGCTTCTGTTTCACCCACCACTACGACCGCATGAGCTTCCACTACACGGTGGTCCTGATGGTGGGCCTGGGGCCAGGGGAGGGCAGGGGGCTGACGGCAACAACCTCGCTGTTGCGCCAGGGGGGCCACTCTCCCACTCGCTGGGCCTACAGTTCTCCCAGGTGATCAGCATCTGCTGGGCTGCCATCGGGTCACTCTACGCCGAGATGACACATGACAAGTTTCTGCGGTGTTTTGCACTGACCATCCTGAGTGAGTGGTGGGGACGGTGGGGGGTACGCCTAGAGGAGCGGGCAGGGCGGCAACAGAGCGTGGGGCTGCTGACCCGGTGCTCTCCTCTGCCCAGTGCTCAACGGCGGCATGTTCTTCAACCGCCTGTCCCTGGAGTTTCTGACCATTCAGTACCGGGAGGAGAGCCACTGAGGCCTGGGGAAGAGGATGCTGCTAGCAAGGGACAAGGAAAAGGCTGTTCTGGGTGTTTCCGTAATAAAGTCTGTGGTTTATTTCCACCTGTCAGCTCCTTTGCAGGGTGAGAGGTGGAGGGAGGTGAAACCCCATGGGGAAAGCAAAGCAGGTGAAGACAATGGCTTGACCTGCACGTAGGACCCCAGGCTCAGCTTCCAGCCACCATGATGCACGCGGTCCCAGGGCCTGGGGTCTTAGTGTCTCACACTGGAGGGAGAGGAGCAGGTAAAAGGCTCCAAGCCTCCTCCCCTCCCTTCTCCTCCTGGGAGGGGACCTAGGCTGGCCTGGCCGCAGGCTAGGGCTCAGGAGGGCCCCACGCGGATGTGGGGGTTCATGAGCGGGTCCAGGTTGGGATCACTGTCGGCCGCGGCCCGGCCCAGACGAGACATGAGGGCGAGCAGGGACAGAAAGCCCAACAGGCCCAGCAGCAGCAGCAGCCCCGCTCGCTGAAGCAGGCTCAGGGGTCGTTTGCGAGACCCAGCCCTACTCCTGCGGGGAGGGGAGAGGCAGATCAGGCCGCCAGCCCCAGTCACCCTGCCTGCACCCCTCCCCCCCCGACTCCCAGAGCAGCCCTGGCTGCCAGCCTTGAGCTGCAGTTGGCTGATGCATGTTGTCCATGCAGCTGCCCGCACCTGCACCTGCCACACCCAGGCTGAGGCCCCTTGACTGTTCAGCAGGAAAGTGTCAGGGGTGGCAGGGCAGGAAGTGGCTGCTCAGGTTCCCAGTGCAGGAGGCGGGGAGACAGCCCCATGGAGGTGTCTCTGCACAGCTCATGAGACCCTTCTGTTGGCAAGCAAGCAAACTGTCCTGCCCGGGGCCCTTGGCCTCCACCCCTCCTCCCTACTGCCCACCAAGGGTACCTGAGCAGCTGGGCCAGCCAGCCCAGGGCCGGTCGGCGACGGTACTTGTCATCATCACAGTCCCTATGGAGGCCTGGTGCCTGGTTATCATCCCGAGTGTCATATACCTTCCTGGGAGCTGCAGATTGGGGTGGCCAGCAGGAACAGCATCAGGGAGACAGGCCCGGAGAGGCTGGGGGAGTGGGGGGAACCCCTGACCCAGCACCTCGGTGAGATCTGTGCCTGAGGTGAGGAAGTGTCGCTCTGGGTCCCCAGGCTCCCTCCACGCAAACTGCCCACCACACTTGGCCTGCTGGTGGTGCTGCCCAGCTCACCATGAGCCGCAAGCTCGAGGCTGCCCACGTGGATGACAGTGTGAGGCTCGGGCCTGCTGGGGGAGGCGGGCGGCCGCGGTGGCGGCGGCTGGCTGTAGAAGGCCTGTGCGGCAGAAACGCTGTCTACCTCCTCCGTTCTGGGGGGATCGGTGGCTAGAGGGGCAGGGAGAGGGTGGTCAGCCAGCAGGACAGGCTGCCAGGCACCCCAGTGGCTGGTGCAGAGCCCACCACTCACCGCTGAAGCTGGACCAGTCTGAGGAGAAGTCTGAGGTGCCGAGAGGCCCCAACTCTGGGCTCGCCACTTGCTCAATCTGCAGTGAGGATCCCATGGGTCACCAGGCTGCCAGGGGATGGGCCCACTCACCCAGTGGGGCTCAGGCAGAAGGTGGGGGGAGCCCAAACTGAGTGCATTCTCACCAGAGGGAGGCCCAGGCCCGCCCGGGCCCAGTTGACCGTAGCCAGCTTCTCCCTGAGCGCAGAGGCCACGGGGCCGGCCAGGTTGGCTGGGGGAAAGATGGGGCCGCTGCAGCTCGGGCATTGGTAGCCTGCGGGTGCTGTGTTTGGGGGCAGCTGCTCAGCACGTTCATTGAGGCAGGCCCAATGGAAGAGATCTGAGGACACAGAAAACAGGGGTGAAGGGACCTGAGGAAGAGGCTTGGGGTTCCTTGCGCAGCGGGGCGACCAGCGGTGTGAGGATGAACAGACACCTCTCCGAGGTCATAGGAAGTGGGATTTGGGCACAGACACCGAGATGCTGCTTGGCGTGTCCAAATTCCATGGTGGGGTATCGGGGTTTGAGTCCTGACTCAGGTTACTGCTAGTGTGCACCCCAGAAAGCAGCAGGTGACGGCTCCTGCACATGGGTCCTCAGCACCCATGTGAGACACCTAGCTGGAGCTCCCAACTCCTGCCTTCAACCTGACCCAGATCTGCTGTTGGGAGTATTTGCGCAGTGAACCAGCTGCTGGAAGATTTTTTTCTTCTTTGTGTCTCAAATAAACATAAAATAAGATTTTAAAGGTAAACATTTTGGTACAAAGAAATTCTGAAAGCAATGCATAGTTTTTTCATAATATGCATATCATGATTTTTTTTTTAAAGATTTATTTATTTTGTGGGCCCACTGTACTGGCTTGATTGGCTAATCCTCCTCCTTTAGGAGCCAGGTTCCCATATGGGTGAAGTTTGTGTCCCAGCTGCTTTACTTCCCATCTAGCTCCCTGCTTGTGGCCTGGGAAAACAGTTGAGGATGGCTCAAAGCCTAGGGACCTTGCATCTGTGTGGGAATCCCTAAAGAAGCTCCTGGCTCCTGGCTACAGATCTGCTCAATCTGTCCGTTACAACCATCTGGGAAATGAACCAGCAGATAGATCTATCTGTCCCTCCTTCTCTGTAGATTTGCCTTCCCAATAAAAATAAATAAATCAGGGCCTGGCAGGACAGCCTAGTGGCTGTTCTCACCCTGAACGCGCTGAGAACCCATTATGGGCACTGGTTCTAATCTTGGCAGCTCCACTTCCCATCTAGCTCTCTGCTTTTGGCCTGGGAAGGCAGTTGAGAATAACCCAAAGCCTTGGGACCCTGCACCCACATGGGAGACCTGAAAGAGGTTCCTGGCTCCTGGTTTCAGACTGGCACAGCACCAGCTGTTACAGCCACTTGGGCAGTGAATCAACAAATGCAGGATCTTCCTCTCTGTCTTTCCTCCTCTGTATATCTGACTTTCCAATAAACATAAATAAATATTAAAAGTAAATAAATAAAGCAGAGAGAAAGATCCTCCATCCGCTGGTTTGCTCCCCAAATGAGGTGATCCAAAGTCTGGAGCCAGGAACTTCTTTGAGTTCTTCCATGTGGATTTAGGGACCAAGGACTTGGGCATCTTCCACTGCTTTCCTAGGCCATAAGCACGGAGCTGGATGGGAAGTGGAGCAGCTGGGACAGGAACTGGTGCCCTTTTGTTATGTCAGTGCTTGGAAGTAAAGGATTAGCGAGCTGAGCCACTGTGCCAACTCCACATCATGAACTTTTGAGACTCTTCACAGACATGGATTCTTATCATCTTTGATAAGGCTGACTTTCTGGCACAGTGCATTAAACTGCCACCTGCACACTAGCAGCTCATGAGCATGCCAGTGAAGAGTCGGTTGCTCTCCTTAAATCCTTAAATCATTAGCTCCCTGCTAATGTATCTGGACAGGTCCTCAACCCTCTGGAAACGCTCCTGACTCCTGGCTTCAGCCTGGCCCAGCCTGACACAGCACCCGCTCTTGTGGTCACCAGGGGAGTGACTGCGGATGAAGATCTATTCCTCTGTCTCTCCTCCTCGTTCTCTGTAACTCTGCTTCACAAATAAAATCCCTTTTAAAAGTCATTTTGGCATCAAATACTCATGTTTTCATTCCTTTTTTCCAGAAAAATGTTTGGTCTGTGTGGGTGCCGCCCCTCGTGCCCCTCGTTGCTGGTTCCTGTCTTCCCCCTGGAGGTCTCAGCTCTCATGGCATCCTCTGTCTAGGCCGAGCCCAGTGCTGCTCAGCTGCTCAGCCCACAGGAGTTGGGCATGACAGAGAAGAGATGTCCACCCTTTCAGGGAGCTCCCCTGTGCCCGTACTCATCACGCACCTAGGGCTAGTGGCTGTGAGAAAGTTGCCCACACACCCAGGCACCTGAATGCGTGTCTGTACCCATGGATACAAGTGTATCTGTGCATTTGATGACAAAATCAGGGGACCAGTGTCATGGCTGAGCAAGCTAACCCTTCACCCTGTGGCGGCAGCATCCCAGGTGGGCGCTGGTTTGTGTCCCAGCTACTCCACTTCCCTACTTATGGTCTGGGAAAGCAGCAGAAGATAGTCAAAGTCTTGGGCCCCTGCACCTGCATGGGACACCCAGAAGAGGCTCCTGGCTTCTGGCTTCAGACTTGCCCAGCTCCCAGCCATTTAGAGAATGAACCAGGAAGACCTTTTCTCTCTCCTCTATCTATAAAGCTTTCAAATAACATTCTTGAAAAAAAAAGATAAAATCGGGCCCGGTGCCGTGGCTTAGCAGCTAAAGTCCTCACCTTGAACGTGCCAGGATCCCATATGGGCACTGGTTCTAATCCCGGCAGCCCCGCTTCTCATCCAGCTCCCTGCTTGTGGCCTGGGAAAGCAGTCAAGGACAGCCCAAGGCCTTGGGACCCTGCACCTGCGTGGGAGACCAGGAAGAGCTCCTGGCACTTGGCGCAGCACCGGCCATTGTGGTCACGTGGGGAGGGAATCATCGGATGGAAGATATTTCTCTCTGTCTCTCCTCTCTCTGTATATCTGACTTTGCACTAAAAATAAATAAGTCTTTAAAAAAAACATAAAACACACGTGTTACTTCCTACAGATACCCCGAATCACACTTCTGTGTGCTCTCCTGCACGTAACACCCACGTCCATGTGAAATGCCTGCCTGCCTTTATTCCCACACCCTCAAGTGCTAACACACACACAGCCCACTGCTGCACAGGCACGATGCTGAGGCCCTACCAGCAGGCTGGGGTCCACATCCCCGCACAGGTGGTCTGCCCACTGCTGTCAGCCTCTCTACTTGGTTGCTCTCTTGGGACCTGTAATGGATCCTGCACCCACAGCCACAGCCCTCACCGGTTTAAGTTCAACCCTCCTGGGTCATTAGGGCAGGCACCAGGAGCTGTGACATTGGGAAGGACGCTGAAACCTCGAGGTTGGAAACAGCTTGCTGGTGAGGTTGCCTATCAGGTGAGTCCTCTAACAGACAAGAATCTGGCGCTGGCTTTCCCGGCCTGGGGGACTCACTGTCTTTTTGGTGTTTTGGGGCAGGGGCCTGGGAACCAGTCACCAAGGGCCCCTCACCCACCCCAACAAGGTGCCCCGGCTCACCATAGCACACCAGACGGGCGGTCTCCCGGCTGGCCAGGGGCGCGCCGCACAGCTGGCAGTTGGGGTTGTAGTCGCTATCCTGGAGCCACTGTAGGTAGGACTGGACGACGCACTGGAGCCAGAGGGAAAGGTGTCAGGGGCGTCCACAGCGAGCCTTGTCCCCGCCGACCCGGGACCCTGCCCAGGGGCGCTCCGCGCCTGAGCCCCCACCTTGGCGTGGTTGACCACCAGGCAGTGCTCGCAGACGTTGACTCGGTGTTCGAAGCAGAATAGGTTGGTGACCTTTCTCTTGGGGCACTTGCAAAGCCCCATGATAGACCCTGGGGTAGGGGCTGCAGTGGGTAAGCAGCCAGGCTCCCCTAGCCCGGCATTCAACCTCTTCCAGACAACAGCCGTGAGCCACCCACCCCGCCACCCGCAAACCCCAAATCCCGGACCACGCCCCCTGCCTCGATCCCTATCCAGCGCCCCCTACCCAGGATCCCGCCCCCAGCCAGGCCCCCTAAATCACAAGTTCCCAAATACCCCGGCCCCGCCCCCAGGTCCCCACCCCCTTACAAGCCCCGCCTCTCTCCCACAGACCCCGCTCTCCGTGTTCCTGATGGACGGACTGGTACCGGTCTCGGCGGGAAGCACGGAATACCAGAAATCGCGCTCACCGGGGTCCCGGTCAACAACCCTGTCGCCTGCCGCTCCGGGCCGCCCCGCTGATCCCTCTCGGTTGCCACGTCTCTTCCGGGTGCGGCGCGCGCTGATGACGCCCGGGTCACGCCCCTAGCGCGCGGGGTGCAGGAGCGGAGTCGGCCCTCCCGCCTTGCGTCACTTCCGCTTCCTCTCCGGCAGGGCGGGTAATTCGGAATTTTTCTGCGCGTCCCGGCAGTCTGCCTACCGGTAGGCTCGATCCCGGGAGCTGGCCGCGGTTGTGGAGCATCGTGAGCGAAACGAGTGATGTCTGAGAGGCGGACGCGGTTCGGAGGGGCCGCTCGGCGCTCCGGTGAGCGGAGGGCGCGCTGGACGCACCCCCGGAGGGCCTTGTTTTGGGGGTCGGGTGTTCATCTTTGAGCTGCCTGCAGATCCTGTTCGGGCCCAGAGTCCGTCTCCACCTCCTGACTTTTTTGTTGTTCTTTCTTCCCCAGGGGCCCAGGCCCCGTCTCTTCACAAAAGCCTGCAGAGGTCCCCGCGGAAATCGGATTCCGAGCCCGCGAGTTTCCTCCCCGAGATCTGGCGGAAGGTGGGCGAGCCCTCCTGTCCCCCTGTCCCGAGTCCTCGAGGTCCCCTGGAGCAGAAGCGGGTGCTCACGGTCAGCCCTGTTCCCCAGGCGCCTCATGGAGCTTCCACCCGAAAACCTATCGTGTTGAAGAAGATCGTGGCTCACGCGGTGGAGGTGAGGGGCGACGAGGGAGGAAGAGGAGCAGGTGGGGGGCCGCAGCCGGAGGTCGGCTGGTGACCGTGTGGTGTTGCCCCTACAGATGCCAGCTGTCCACTCGCCTCGCCGGAGCCCACGGGTGAGTGAGTGGGTCCCTGCCTAGCGAGTCGGGGTCCGGGTGGTCGTGTCGCCGGGGCAGGGTGCACCTGTTCCCTGAAGCTGGTCTTTGTTCACCGGGATGCGTGGTTCTGTGTGACTGCCCCCTGTATACCTCGCACCCCCAGGACCCCCCTCCCCACACACTGTGTGTTTCTGCCATTTTCTTTAGAGGGTCCTTGACGAAGCGGAGCCGTGTCCCAGCCATGCTTTTATCTCGGCCCTGTGAGCTGGGCATGCTCTCTGTTTTTTACAGTTGTAGGAGATACCATTGTTGAGGCTGTCCCGGGATAGAAAATAAGATGCAAGGGAGCGGGACTGGGCGGGGGAGCTAAGGAGAAGTGATTATGGCCTAATGTGCTTTTGTTTCTGTCTGTGTTTATCAGAAAGGCAGCCAGGGTTGGCGCAAGACTGACCTGGGTCCCCCACTTGGGTGGCAGGGGCACAAGTGCTTTGGCAGGAAGGTGGCGTTGGAAGTGGGGCCAGACTCAGTAGAAAACTTCTAGATGCTGTCATGGTACCTGAGCCCCACTGCGTGCCTCAGGGGGTGGCTCCCAATTGGAGCGGTTACACTGGGTGCTTAAAGACAAGAAGGGTGCTTTGGGGCAGGTGTCAGAGATCTAGGGAATAGAGAAAAATTGAAGGACTTGGGAAGGAGCATCCGTGCTCTGCTCAAGGTTGAAGCAAGGCCATGACGGGGAGAAGCCAGAGTGTGTAAGGGAGGTCCCTCTAAGGGGGACTGACGTGGTGGCAGAGTAGGTAAAGCCACTGGCTGTGAGCTTGGCGACCCCCGTGGGCTCAAGTTCTAGTCCGGGCTATTCACTTCCCATCCGGCCCTCTGAGATTTTTGTTGTTTCCATTTTATTTTTATTTATTGTTTGAGAGACAGAATTGTGCTCTCTGGTTCATTCCTCAGATGTGTACACCGGGCCTGAGCTGGACCGAAGTGGGGAGCCAGGTCTCCTGCATAGATGTCAGGGGCCTCGTTATCCATCACCCCACAGCCTCTCAGGGCCTGCACGGGCAGCAAGCTGGCATCCAGGTCCCAGCTGTCAGACCCAGGCCTCTGAGAAGGGACAGTCAGTTCCTGGCCACAGGCCTGCCCGCTCCTGTCCTGTTAGAACTCATTTGTCCCATGGCCCTCCCCGCTTCTCTGTCCTTCTGGAATGTTCTCCAGCCTTCCGGGAAGTAGCTGATTCAGGCAAGTAACAGGCAGGTGCTCTCTCTCCTGTCTGGGTGCAGATTGCTTTTCTCTTGGAGAAAGAAAACAACCCCCCACAGAGGGAGCCCGCCAGGGAGGACCTCTTCAAGTCGTGCAGCGTCCCCACCACGCCGACCACCACACCGGTGCTGGGCCCACTGAGTGCCAAGTCTACCTCCAGGGAAGGGGAGCTGGATGCCAGGGACTTGGAGATGTCTCAGAAGGTCCGGCGGTCCTACAGCCGCCTGGAGGGCCTGGGCGCTCTTACCACCTCCACCCCGGGCCACCGGGCCCCCTTAGGCTTCAGCGGGGCAGACGACTTGCCCAGAGTCTCACCTGTGGTTGCTGCAAAGTCAACCGAGGTCTCCGGGGAGCCCGCCAAGCCTTGGGCCCTGGATATGGCTCTGCCTGGCATCTCCCCTCTGGTCCCCAAGGAGAAGCGGAAGAAAAAGAAGGTGCCACAGATCCTGGTAAGTGAGAGGCTGGCCACGACAGCAGGGAGAAAGGCAGCACCCCTGGGGCAGGACGCATTCCCTCCCCGATCACATATCCCAATCTGCACCCCGTTTCTCTCCCAGAAATCGGAGCTGGATGAGTGGGCCGCGGTTATGAATGCCGAATTTGAGGCTGCTGAGCGGTTTGACCTCGTGGTTGAATGAGACAAAGTGGGCGTGCCTGCGGCTGGCCTCTCCACGCTCCTTGTACATAAGCCCCTCCTCGCTGTGTGGAAGACGCCGGGGCGCCTGGCCTAGCTACTCACTGGGGTGCTGTCCCATCATCCTCCTCTTCCTGCCTCCCCAGAGCGTTGGCGTGAGCAGGTGCTTCTGGCCGCCCTGACAGAAGCAGGGTACCCCTCCTTAGGGGTCTTGGGTAGATGGCAGCCACAGCCTTCCTGTGTCAAGGCTCTAGATTTGGGGCAGTTCCTTGAGACCCTGTAGATGGTCCCCAGAAAACTGATGGTCAAGGGCAGCTCTGCCCTTAAGAAGCTGGGTGTCCAGCCTGCAGTGGAACTGGAAGTTTGGAAGAGGACAGCTTCCATCAGCTGCCAAAAAATAAACTTCTGTGTCCTGCTGGTGAGATGTGTGATGATGCCATGTCGAAGGGAAGCTGGCTGCTTGGAAATGTCCCGCACCAGGACTGCTGGGGCCTGACATACTGCTAGAGAGATGGGATGCCTCTTGATTCACACCTGTTTGCTTACAAGAGCCACTGCGTAGTCTCCTCAGTCATTTGCCACAGGGGGTTCTGGGAAATAGTGGGGCTGGAGAGCGGGTGACAATGCCCGAGAGGCAGGGGCCTGGCAGAAACCTGGTAAGGGGTGTCTCCCTGTCCCCATCTTACTCAAAGCTACAAACAGGTGTGTCCTTGTACTTGCCCACCCACAGTGGCCCCTTGTGCCCCCCTGTGCCATAGACTGTGGTGCCTTCTGATGTTTACAGGTTTGTAGGAGCTATTCGCAGGGGGCAGGGAGCACTGTAGGCTGCAAAGGGTGGACACAGGGTTAGGTGCCCAGACGGAGTTGTGCAGGCCTGGGGTGAGAGGCACTAATTAGATACTTGGGCAAGCTGGGGGTCCTGGCCCTCTGCCCACCACACCACGCTCTGTCGTCCCTGAGCACCAACCCCTTGCCAGGGAAGTGCATGCGGCCATGAGCTGGGCCACCCCTGCCGAGCCCTCTGGCCAGCTGGCAGGACCCAACTCCTGGAGGAGTCCAGAGGCTGCTCGTTCCTCTCCCTGAGCTACTCTGTGTGGTGTGAGAGGAGGGACCAGGCTTGTGTTCTAGAATCTTCAACGGACTGACAATTTAATGATTGGGTCAAAGGTGGAACCAGAGCATGAGGGCTGTTGGCTGAACCACCCTCCAGAGTCCTGTGGGAAGCCCCTACCCTAGCTACTGTCCAGGGCTCCTGGCAGTGAAGGCCTCCAGGCAAGTCGTGTCTCCCTGCTGTCCCTGAAGGAGAGAAAATACCAGAATCTGCGGAGTCCCTAAAGATCTAAGGCGACTTTATGTCTCCCACCACAAAGACTCAACATCTGACTTGTGCCGCCTACGGGGTCAGGCTCCCTGGGGCTATTGGTCTCCACCAAGTGGCTGGTGGCTTGGCTGCAGGTCACAGCTCCCTGCCATGGGCCCAGGCACCCTGGGTCCAGCAGCAGTGGTGAGGCCTCCTTGTCCTGCATGGAGGCTGCTCATTCGTGCCTGAAAAGGGGCTTTGCCATGATTTCAGCCATATGGGTCTTACACTCCTGCCCTGCAGAATCTGTCCCGCAAATTGTGCAACTCCCTGAGTTCTAATAAAGTTTTCTATTCTAATAGCCATTGTCGTTTTCCATTGATTGCAGGCCAGACCCCTGAGTAGTACAAAGGGCCCAGACATCCTAGCAGGGCTCTGCAGGCCGTGGCAGGTGCCCAGTCCTCCAGGGTACCTGCTGCTGATTGGCTGCAGGTCCTGGGACGCCAAGCCTACCACTACAAGCCTTATACCTGACCAAAGTCTGCCTTCCTCCCTCCCCCAACACGCCCAATAAGTACAGGGAGAACCAGAGGGTCACAGGGCTTGATGTTGCCATTGCTGTGTGGCTCCTGACAAGTCTTTGCATCTCTGTGCTTCACTATCTATAAAGTGGGGACCCAGTGCCAGTGCTGTGGCATAGTAACTAACCCTCTGCCTGCAGTGATGACATCACGTCTAGGCATTGGTTCAAATCCTGGCTGTTCTGCTTCTGGTCCAGCTCCCTGCTTGTGGCCTGGGAAAGCAGTAGAGGATGGCCCAAGACCTTGGGACCTTGCACCCACATGGGAGACCCGGAATGCCAAAGTCCAGCTCCAGCTGAGATCGGAACTCGAGAAGGGTGAGTGGGTGAGGCGTAAAGAGGAAAGAAAAGGACCACTAGGATTTCATGATCATAATGGACAATGGGAAAGCTGTCCGCTTTATTTATACAGAAACAATCAAACTGGCTCAGGCTTATGGTGGAGTGGTAGTTTCTAAGGATAATTCTGCCATTTGTTTCACCTAAAAACAATAGAAGTTCCTACTACAATTCTTATTCTACAACTCAATTTTGTATCACAAAGAAAAGGAGAACCTAAAGATCAAGGAAAGAATGAAAGCCTAAACATAGATGCCTTGATTAGCATAAGGTCAGTGGGGACGGCCAAGGCAGTAGGAATAATAGAAGACCCTTTTGCAAGACGTTATTATTGACATTAACCTCCAAGCTCACATTGAGTAAAAAAGCCAACTCCACAGTAGCAAACAGTGGCTGAATGGATTAGAGTCCTTCTGCAGGTTGGTCCAGTGTCCATGCATTCAGGTGGTTGTAGAGACATCCGCCGGGCCCTGCCATACAGCAGGAAGTTCCTTGTGGCTCTGCCTGCAACGGAACAATACTCTTCACACCTTCCCGTTCCCCCATATTCACTGCACGGACCCCAACACCGGAAGAGGTTCCTGGCTCCAGGCTTCAGATCTGTTCAGCTGTGGCCGTTGGAGCCCCTGGGGAGTGAATCAGCAGGTGGAAGATCCGTCTTTCCTGTTTCCTCTCTCTCTATGGGATTTTGACTTTGAAGTAAAATTTTTAAATCTTAAACAAAATAAACAATAAATAAAACCTTGTTCTTTACATCCCTTCGTAGCATTGGGGAGCATCCTCCAGGGCCCCACTTGCAGCATTTCAGTCAGGGAAGGTGGCAGGTAGAGAAGAGGAGGGTGTGTGTGGGAATGTGGACAGTGGCAGACAGGGAACTTGAGAAGCCTTCTTAGAGGAACATCCAACAGCACCGCCTGCAGCCTGGAGCTGCTTCTGGCACAGCTCAGCTCTGGCTCCAGCCATGTGCCAGCTGCATGGTCCTGGGGTGGCAGACAAGAGTGGGGGAGCACAGATTAGGAGTAAACGTTGAGTTCTGGGAGGATTAGATGAGTTAGAAAACAGGGCATTGCTCTTGGAGCCTGGGAAGTGTCGGGCTGGGAATGCCCACATCTATCTGCTGCCTTGCCTTGTTTCTTTTTTAAACTATCACTTTTTTTTTGGAAGGGCAGATTTTTTTTTTTTAGATTTATTTTATTTTTATTACAAAGTCAGATATACAGAGAGGAGGAGATCTTCCGTCCAATGATTCATTCCCCAAGTGGCCGCAACGTCCAGTGCTGCGTCGATCTGAAGCCAGGAGCCAGGAACTCCCTCCAGGTCTCCCATGCAGGTGCAGGTCCCAAGGCTTTGGGGCATCCTCGATTCCTTTCCCAGGCCACCAGCAGGGAGCTGGATGGGAAGTGGAGCAGCCAGGATTAGAACCAGTGCTCATATGGAATCCTGGTGCATTCAAGGCGAGGACTTTAGGTGCTAGGCCACGCCGCCGGTCCCTGGAAGGGCAGATTTACAGAAAAAAAGATCTTCTGTCTGCTGATTCACTTCCCAAATAGCCACAATGGCCTGAGCTCAGCTGATCCAAAGCCAGGAGCCAGGAACTTCTTCTGGGTCTCTCTGTGAGTGCAGATTCCCAAGGCTTTGGGCCGTCCTTGACCGCTTTCCCAGGCCACAAGCAGGGAGCTAGATGGGAAGTACAGCAGCTGGGACATGAAACAGTGCCCATATGGGATGCCAGCAGATGCAAGGTGTGAATTTAGTCACTAGGCTACCGTGCTGGGCCCACACCTGCTGCTGTTAGAAAGCTTGTTAAGGGCCCTGTGCGGTAACCTAGTGATTAAAGTCCTCACCTTGAACATGCTGGGATCCCATATGGGTATAGGTTCTAATCCAGCACCCTGCTTGTGACCTGAGAAGGCAGTCGAGGATGGCCTAAAGCCTTGGGATCCTGCACATGTGTGGGAAACATGGAAGAAGTTCCGGGCTCCTGGCTTTGGATAGGCTTTTCTCTGGCTGTTGTGGTCACTTGGGGAATACTCAGCAGACAAAAGATCTTCTTCTCTGTCTCTCCTCTCTGTATAAACCAATAAAAATAAGTAAATCTTTTTTTAAAAAATGAAAAAAAAAAAAAAGCTTACTGATTTACTTGAACACAGAGTGACAGGGAAACTGGCACGTTGCCTCACGTCCTCAAACGGCCACAACAGGCTGGAACAGCTGCAGCCAGGAGCCAGGAAAGCCGTGAGTCTGCAGGGGTGATGGGGCCCAGGTAACCCGGGTCACCTTCTACCCTCGCAGGCATACTAGCAAGGAGCCAGATCGGAAGCAGAGCAGCCAGGACTTGAATTGGCACACTCATTTCCTCCTCAGTTGTCCACTGATGATGATTCCTATGCCAGAAATGGAAGGGCAGTTCGTGTAAACATGTGCCCCGCACTGTCCCTCCCCTCACATGCGTGTACACACACACACACACACACACCTTGCATTTGGAACCTGGTTTACGACATTGTGTTTGCATGTGGCTTTGGTTGGTTGAAGAAAAAATGCAAGCCAACTAGTTAAATCTGGATTTTGCATTAGAGACACTAAGCAGTTCAGTGTGGTTTTCATGTAAGTTTCAGATTTTCCTGAGCAGCCTGTGCTGGGGGATGTGGCTCTCTGGGCAGAGGGACCAGCAGAGGCTCCACAGCCTGGAGATCACCCCAGCTGGGCAGGCAAGGGCAGCAGGCAGGCAGGACAGGTCAGCAGAGCGAGGCTGCAGCCCTACCTATGTCTCCCACAGTCTCCTGGGAGCAGACGAAGAGCTCACTGCCAGTCAACTCCCAGGCCAGCTGAGAAGCCTATAGAAGCACAAGCTCTCACAAGACCAACTGCACAGGTGATGGGAGCACAGAACTGGAAGAGGGGTGGGAAACGGCGAGAACCCCCTCCCCAACACCGCATCCTGCCCTGGGACCCAGGGTCATCCCCCAGCTGGAGACTGCCTGAATGGTACTCCTTCACACCTGTGTCCCCTGCCTTCCTCCATGGGCTGAGGCAGAGATGGCAGGGACACAGGACACGGGAGGACCCAGGAGGACTGGGCCCCTGGGCGAGCAGCCGTGTGCCATGTCAGTCACAGTGGCGCCTTCTCTGCAGTCACTTTGCAAAGCCAAGCAGAGCCTGGACATGGAGGTGGAGCCCACTGTCACATTCCTGTTCACGCTTCTGAACACGCCTGAGCCCGAAGTGTAAGGCAGTGTGGGTGTGAATGGGTGTGTGATGGGCATGTGCGCTGTGTGCGAGCATGTATGTGTGGGTTGGGGTGTACTACGTGTATGTACATGGTCTGTGATGGGGGGCAGCGGGTACTGCTTCTCCCACCCCACTCCAGGCACGTTTCAACCTGGGCCAAGACTAAGCCCTGGGCTGTGTACAAGGGTGCCCACTTCTGCCCACACCTCCCCTTGCTGGGTCTTGAGACGCCCTGATCCAACCCTCCCTGCTCCTATCCCCCAGGGACTTGGAGATCCAAGAGAAGCGGCTCTTGGAGCCTGGAGACTTGGGCTGCCAGCAGGCCTCGCGGGAGAGCAGGTGTTTGCAGGAGGATTGTAGGAGGTGAGCCCAGGGCCAGGCAGGGGACTCCTCTTCTCGCTACCCTCCACCAGCCCCCCATGCCCCCTCCACCTTCCCTTTCCTCTCCCTACCTTCCCTCTCTGCCCTGCCCTGCACAACCTTACTGCCTCCCAGAACCAGCATTGCCATGGCTCTCTTGTCCTGCATGGCCATGTGCCTGACTGGCCCGCCAGTCCAGTAGCTGCCTATCAGGACCCTGCCAAGAACTGGCCGGCTGGTGCAGCCTGTGGGATAAGGGCCTGTTCTCTGCCTGTCAGAGCTGGGAGCTGTGCCGTCCTGGACGCACTGCCGTGCAATGCCAGGGAAGGCCTGCGATGGGGCAGGTCAGGCGTCTGCTGAGAAGCCACTCTCCACCAGGGCTACACGCACCTGCTAACTACACAGCTCAGTTGAGCTCTCAAGGAATTCTTGAGCCACAGCCCTGACTGTCACTATAGCCCCTAGGGGTGGCCCCACTCCCTGTCAGGGAGTCCTTGGAGAACCCCAGCCCAGCCTGTACAATGAAGCAGGCTGCCCCTTATCCTGCTAAAAGAAGGAAGGGAGGGTGAGAGGGCTGGAGGAAGGGAGGATGGACAGACTAGTGGAACCGGCCCGTGTCTGGGATCCTGCCGCAAGGGACACAGAGAGGATAGTTCCCAAGAGAGCTGTAGATTCACC